ATAAAAATATAGCGTGTGTACAAGATTTCCGGTTGATCAATTCGTAGGTGGGTGACACCAGACTGACTGGTTTCAACATAGAGCTTTGCACAGATGTGCACCAGTTCGAGTCGCCACTCTCACAATGTAGCACACACAGGAAGAGAAGAAAGTAAAGGGATGTTCAAAAGACAGATAATAAAGAGAAGTATGAGTGTGGGGAGAAGAATAGCAATATGGAAGAGAAGTACAGTTTAATTGGATATGATAAATCACAAACAGTGAATGCATCCGCTCCGTCATTGAGAACGAGTATTTCCAGCCATATCACGGATTGTCTCCAGCCTTCATTGTTTCTTACCATCCGGAGGACCCCAACCAGACTGACAGTCTATATCTCCCGACGTGACTGGCATCAACAACCTGTTGTGAATTTCACTGAATGATAAAGCCATGTTTTAGTTTGACCAGCACTAGCTTCCTCTCTTCCAAAATGATCCATCCTATGTGAGTCAGCTGACATTGCCCACGGTCGACGAGGGCGATGGCTAGGCTAGCGTGAGTAACACATGTCCTAACCATCTGGATCGATGCAGCTATTTCATAACCTATTCGATTGATTCCCCCTCCCACCTACCTAGTACTCGACCGAAAAGCCTATCCTTAATATTACTCACCCTATTATACAACCTGACACACGTGGGAGATAGAACACAGGGCCTATGATCAAATACAGCTAGCCAGTCAGCCTTTTCATGTTTTCCACTTTCAATCGCCATGTTTCAGTCACAACCATAAAGGAGGACGGTGCGAACTGCTGCTGAGCAGTACATACGTCCTTTAGTCGATAGCCGGATACCACATCTGCACCAGAGATATCGTAGGTTGGCTTGTGGCAAACCAGCCTTCTGACACCGCAGTTCTAAGAACTACCTTAACTGAATAGTCAATGATAACAGTGATATGTTTTGACACTTATACTATCTGCAAAACACTGACAGTGAAATTAACGCATGCCCACAAATAATGTAGATACATCTTATTGTTTGATGAAAATGTGGCTTATCGGCTTAAAGAATCAAATTTCAACCACTAGTAGTAGGTAGATGACATGTTGGAATACCACTCAACCTACTTCAGCATAGACAACTGAGTAGTATTCTCAATTCTCAAAACAATATTTAGGTGGTTCATAGCCTGCTGAAAGCGGAAGATGCAAAACAGTTGGCTGTGTTTGATCACAATTGTTTGCTTTCTTTCTCCAGTGTTAAGTGATATAATATTTTAGTCAGCAGTATTGGGGTTACGTGTAGAGCCGATAACATTGGCTAGTGGTCGCGCTATATGATGAATTCGCAGAAGCTGGGATTTATGGACTGGCCATCGGATCGAATCCCAGTGGCTTAATAGTCTACGAGCTCGCTCGCCTTGTAACTAGAAGGTCCTAGTTTCGAACACTAGGGTGGGTGCGTACTGATGAAGAGTCTCAAACCAGGATGAAACAAGTGGCTGTTCACTACTCTCAGCTGGTTTTCCAATGGTTTTCTAACCAATGTCAGCTCATGATGAAATCCTGAAACCAATCAGTCAAATCCCTGTAAACCAATACTCAAGTGTAGAGTGTTAGACAAGCCGAAAAAATGAGTCGATGAGGTGGTGAATCTACATTGATTGATATTAGGACGTGCTGTGCAAGCTGAGCCGCCTCCTTCCATGACAAACAATGTGAGCTGACATAAGATTAAGTTGAAATACAGTTAGGAGTGATCAAATCCACACCTGGCATTAATCCGTAATCACTGATTCACACAATCGGATTGTAAAATACCAACATATAATTAAATTTCAAAAAGAAAAGGTTGAACGAACTTTCAACTAAGAACACCTATCGAAAGTGAACGCTCCTATCGAAATATTAAGCGAAAAACAAAAAGAAGGAAGGCGAGTTCCCTTCAAAAAAAGAATTAGCAAGGATTTCTAAACAACAATCTGAAGAAACACTGAATGATTGAGTAACAAATTTATCAAAACAACCATTAGCAAAAATAGAAGAACAACTTTGCCAGAAGGCATTACGGTACAATAGTAGTGATGCTTAAAAAACAGATTTTCTGTGCTTCCTTAGAATCATCATCCAAATAGTCAAAATTTAATGAGGAAGTACGACAAGAAATGAATACATCCGTTAATTCATCAACAATCTCAGATGGTTGGAGGCAATCGGCCACAGGAAGCCTCCGACCTAGGTTTCGTGCTAGTTGGCACTCACCAGTCAGCAAGGCGTATCTGCAACCCTGAAGGAACTCATGTCCCTTCTGAGATTCGAACCCGCGTCACCCAGTGCTGCAGTCAGAGACGTTAACCACTGCACCAAAGAAAGGACTGGATGCATAACACTAGTTACTAGTGTCCAACCAGATTAATCAACAATCTATATTTGAAGACATTAAATTCAGAAGAGAAGAAGAATTAAACAACAAAATTCCATTCTTAGGAGTCTTACTTGATCAAGAGAACAAACACAAGGAGATGGGACAGAAAACCTTCCCACCCAAACAAACACATCAAATACTCAACTATAACAGTTAGTAAAAACTCAATTACCCACAAAAGAAACTTTGTGCGGACATTGTTTGAAAGAGTTCTAACAGACACTACAGAACTCCGGTATTGAAGAGAATGAAGGAAGAATACCCACTAACCGTCTTCAAGAAAAATGTACATCCTCACAATTCCATCAAAAAGTGTTTAAACTCAAGTCATTACACCAACAAGAAACCATCATCAAAGACCACAAGGAAATTCATCCTACTATACATAAAAGTTATCCCTGAAATAACAGCTAGAATATTAAGACCGTTCCAAATAGATATAGCACACACGCCAGTCAGCCAGCACAATCACTTTACTCGATATTGTGCCAAGTGAAAGATCCAAAAAGGAAAGAAGATAAAATTAATACCAGTTACAAAATAAATTGCATGTATGAACTGCAATAAACATTACTTCGGTGGTCAAAGTGGGCGTCCCCTTTGAATCCACATCCAAGAACACAAACTGGCTGTAAACAGACATCATATCGATGCATGTAGACAATTATGGGCACCAATTTGATTGGCAAAATTTAGAAATCTTTTTATGGAGGAAGCATTAAAAATGCAGTCAGGGATTTCTAAAAGCCTGCTTTGTACTCAGATGAGTCAGCGATTAACAAACACATTACCACATTTGCCAACTAATAAAGCATATATCACGTGATAAAAATAAAGCTCAAATTCCAAATCAGTAAAAAAAATGATCAATAAAGGCGAAAATTAACAACCAATCACAACAATGATTGTCAGGAGATGCAATTATACCATCACCATTCACGCAAGGAGAATCCAAACAAGTTCACTTTATATTACAGCTTACGATGAAGACGTTGTCTTGAAGGACAATGAAAGCCTCACAATCAAATCAACCAGCAGAGAGAGTACAAAAATAAATCGAAATCATTCACCCGAGCTACAAATCTCTATTATTTTGAAGTATTTGACAGCTGGTTTGAGCCAGTCACGTGGAAAGGTGGAGTCTGTTCGGTTGCGGTTCTCCGAATGTTAAGAATCAATTGCTGAAGACCACTGGTGATATGGTTCAAAATCGTACTCTGTGGCATAGATACATTCTCTCTTTATAATCTTCTATAATCCATTAAACCCTGATGTTTTCCCCATCCTCCTATTCTTTCTCCTGCACATTTCTACTTATTACAGCTCTTTTGAATCTCCTTTTGCCTCTCTTATCTCTACTTTTTGTGCTACATTGAGATTGGCAACTTGAACTAGTGCACCTTTGTGCAAAGTTCTATAATTTGAAGTTCAATCAGTTATAGCCTGCGTAGACTAAGTGGTGCTCGGGAAGCACAAACACGTGAGAACCAGGCAGGCTTTAAATCAGGAAGAGGGTGTATTGATCATATCTTCACCCTTCGATAGATTCTGGAGCATAGGAATACCTACCGGCGTCCAACAATCGTTATATTGCTCCACCTGAAAGCGGCATTCGATTCCGTCCCCCGAGAGGTACTATGGCAATGTTTGGTTGTGAAAGGAATGTCGGGAAAATACATCGCACTGTTCAAGGCATTCTACTCGAACTCATGCAGCTAGCTAGGTGAGAGCCTACGGAGAGTTGTCATCTAAAGTGGTGACAACCAGCTGTCCATCGCCGTTTGTGTTTAGTTTTGTCACAGATGTACTAATGGAACTCAAGGGTTCCTTCAGGGTTCTAGATACGCCCTGCTGACGAGTGCCTACTAGCACGAAACCTAGGTCGGAGGCTTCCTGTGACCGATTGCCTCCAACCATCTAACATCAACAATTCGAAGTACATCATGATGGCATGCTACCTAGAATGGTGACCACATTTCCAACCTGACCGACAGAATTCAGTCTGCACAAGACAAAGGAGCAATATTGAGGTTAGGCTTCGGCAGAGTATTAAGTAAGGAGGAAAAACCAATCAGTGAAGTTGTGAAGCAGCTGCATCGATTCAGATAGTTAGGACACGTCTTATAGCATGCATGCCTAGCCATCGCCCTCCTCGACAATGGGTACTGTTAGCTAACTGATATAGGATGGATCAGGTTGGAAAAGAGAAAGCTAGTGCTGGTCAAACGAAAAAATGGCTTCATCACTCAATGAAATTCACAACAGTTAGTTTAAGCCAACCACGTCAAGAGGTGTAGACTTCCTGACTGACTGGTTGGGGTCCTGGTCCAGGGGATGGGACGAACCAATGAAGGCTGGAGACAATCCATGATATGGCTCGAAATCCTCGTTCTGAATGGCTGGCCCAGATGCATTCACTCTTTGTGATTTATCATATCCAATAAACCTCTACTATTTTCCCATATTACTACTCTTTTTCGTCTCACTACTGTGCAAAGTTCTATTTTGAGGCTTAATCAGTGATAACCTCTTATATATATCAAGGATAAAAGAATAAAACAAGAAAAACAATCTAACAAATGAACTTACTTTCGCGATGATCAAATTTCTTTTACCGCCTTTATTAGCTTTATCACCATTTGATGATATTGGTTGATGTGGAGACAAACCCTCGAATTCTTCATCATCGTCAGGTTTCAAGTTTTCCAACTTGGCAATCACAATACAATACGAGAAAACAATACAATATAATGTGGATACACTTTATTAATATTCATTCAATGAGAAAATGCATGAATTATGCACGAAATATAGACTTGTAATTTTAAATGTTTACGTGTGCCTGGGGTTTGATAGGAACTAGTAAGTCAGTAAATTCATAAGTCTATTGGCTCATAACACTCATAATGACCTCTGTATATACTCGAACCTCTCTGAATAAAAATTTAATATATGCCATGAAGAAGACAAGCCTGATAATATCTGCATGGACAATACGTCTTTCACTATGTACACTGAATATCACTCTGCAGGAAATTATTGTCAGCAACTGATGATGTGACCCGAAATCGACTGGAATGAGGTAGATGAATTCAATCACAGACTCTCATTCCCAAATGTTATAATATATAGTACGCCATTATGTGACTTATCCTTTCTTATTTTGTGTTGAAATGGGTTTTTTTTACTTTCATGTTATTTACATCTTTCTGTCTTCGTTCTTCTTATTAATTTCCAGATATAAAGTGTATAAACTCTCATCATTGTTAAGTTAATGAGAGGTCTTATGATGATAATGAATGACATTCAAACGACTAAACAGCAAGAATTTTATTCACATACTGTATACTAGCCTGAACTTGGCGGACTCGGCGAAAACCAACAAGTTGGTGGGGGAAGCAACCATAACAAGACTTCAGGTGAGACATATAGGTGGTGAAGACACCCGATGACCAACAGGAAAACAAGAACCAATCACCATCAACCGAAGAAATCTAAAAGAATTCCTCTCTTTTTTACTTAGCTAGACAACATCCTTTCAACTATAGGCGGTAAGGATGAGGACATCAATGTCAATCAGGATCAGATCGGGAAAGTAAGACAAGTGTTCCTTACTCTGGAATCGGTGTGGAGATCTACAACACTCATTCAGTACGAGGAGCGACATCAAAATTTTAAACACTAATGTCAAGTCAGTGTTTCTCAATGGTTCAGAGATGGCGTGCGCATCATCAAGAGATGAGCAACGAGGGGCTCTGGCAGGCAATAGGCAGTGGAAATCCATTGAACATACGTTGAGGAGACATTCAAGTGACAGCACAGGCCAGACCCTCGAGAAGAATTCAAGTAATAAGCGACAAGTTCGACGTCTGTATGTGAAATGAAGATCGCGTGAAGGGGAAATGATGACTCATGGGCAGTCGTCGGGGTGAGAGTCGAGTACAATGAAGATGCACCGCTGAGGAACTCAGAATACAACAACTAATCTGGGAATAAAAGACACCACTGCATCACAACTTTTTCATCTTAAAACCAGATCACTTCGACTACAATACTTCCTTGATGTTTGATTCTATTCCATCACACACATTTGGCTACACAAGTTGTTTCCCAATCATAAATTGATTAGACTCTTTTCTATGCATAAGAATGAGTTCATACACTTTTTTCAAGTGGAAAGCAATGAAACAGTACAAATAAACGAAGGTGCCAAATAAAAAATTTGTAGAACTGAGTTGGATTTTTAAATAATGTCTGCTGGTCGGTTGAACTCATCTCTTGCTTTAAAGTAATTTATTTTTACATCTTGCAACTTCTCTTCCTTCATCATCCTTCATGACCTCATAGTATGTATAAGTACGCAGACATATATACATGACTATGTGGAAACAACGATGTACTGAAAGTCCTATGTATACAGAAATGGATCTAGATCAAGAAGCTATTACCCGACATATCTGTAGAAAGATATGGAGATGGACTGGACATACGCTGAGGAGAACAATGAGTTCTTGAATCTGAAACCTGAATAGGATAAAACGAACTAGGTGTCCGAGAACGATATGGAGATTGCATGAGAAAGATATGAAGGCTTATGCACAGTCGTGAAACCACCTAAGAAAAGACTCAAGAGAACGAACTGAAATGCAAGTGTGCTGCTGAACTCAAGGAAATAATAATATTAGATGATTAGTTCTTTTAAAAAAATCGCATTCAACTTACTTCTATTTCTAATTCACTATCCGTAGAAACGATTTTATCGCCTGCTGGTGATTTACTTGCATGCATTGCTGAGTTATCTTGACTGACTCCTGAATCATCATAAGCATTGCTGTCCGAAATGTTTTTATCAACATTTTCAGATTTCTGTTGCCGAATAGACTGAACAGGAACAGGTTCAGAAATATCGATAGTATAAGCTAAAAAAAATAAATAACCGTATAACACATATACTTGGCCCAAACTAGAAGAAAGAATTTGTAAGTGATAATTATCCGATTTACGCAAGTGATCAAAGTATATGAAATAATTACCATATGGCAAACGAAGACGCCAACTGAAGTCAATCTATACCAGTTTTAAATGCTAATTGAATATCAATTAGCTTTGTACTTGCTATTACTCATTTTGAGAAGACTTGCTTTATTGTAGGCTGAAACCTGTATGTGGGGGGGGGGGATTACTCCTTGTTTCATCTCTCGATAATCAGTGATGGGTTCGAACTCCACCTTATCTACCACGGTCCCGGCAACCAGGTAATATTATGAGCCCTCACACAATAAGTATGGCTTATCGCAAATGATTGCCCACTTATATCAGAACGTCGTGAAGCTACACACTTTACTATGAAACGATACAGGACTAATGTTATATTTCTGGACGTGAAGGTAGCCATGATACCGGTGATCAAGAGGCAATGCAGTAGTCTAGTTATTAAGATAATGAGATATTCTATGGTGATTAGGTTATGCCTCGAATTGACATAATTTAGTGACATCAACAAATAGTATCCACAAAGAATAGGTCAGTTTTACAATATCTTTGTACTGATGGAGTCGACTGTCTTTAACAGAACCTCAAGAACTAATGAGCGACCAAGAAAAGAGCTGGTTAGCTTAGAGTAGGCAGATGATGCAGCTTTATTATAGTAGAATGTCTTCTAGACATTTTCAGAATGCTCAATTCGCTTGGTATACACCTATGCCCTAGTCTGCATGTAGGGAGTGAAGCTAGTTGAATATGTCTGCTTCATTTATTTGAGAGGCATAAATCCTAGTGAGGCAGTTGATAAGGAAAAAGTGTAGTGCTTACAAATAGCTTATTCGTTAATCTGACTAAAAACCTTTTATGATGGGACACCTCCTATAACTTATTTGAAATGCTGGGGGTTTTCACTAAACTTTCCAAAACTAACTGACCGCTGAAATTTGATATCACTTTAACCTTTTGTGTCAGTGGTAAGAGCGAAATCAAGAAGAGTTTCGTTTCCACTGACTTGCCCAAGTCCAATAATTGTATTCAATGTGCTGCTCACCTTCGAAAGAAATGGACAACATTTATCAAGTTCACTGTGCATGACACATGATGCAAATGTCCACATTGGTGATGACCAAATCAGTATATTAATGGTATTAATTGTCATTAACCGTGTATGAAGGACTAGGCTACTACCACTTCCAACTCTCAACACGAAAAATGAATACCAAATTCACTCATGAAATAGACAAGACTTTATGGAAATGTTCAAAAAGATTGCTAACACCAATAAGAAGTTTAAAGGAACTTTGTAGTAAGAAATTGTTCTTGAAGCTTTTGGTCCACATATGCCTGAGTCGCTTGAGAATCTGTGTAACCACACGTGCCCAAAAAATTTTCCCAAAACCTCGAAATCGCCCCCAAAAGGTTTTATTTAGGTACTTTTCATTGTGGATTGAGTCGAAAAACAGACTACAGGATGATCACATGAATACATTATGATCCATTTGCATGTAACACTCTAAACTAAAATGTTAACAAAAGATTAGATTTTTGTGTCACTTGATCAGTGAATATCTGACAAAAAAACAACTTACAATCATCTGGATCCTCAAACTCAGCGAATTCGTTGTCTATTTCTGCCTTGCAAACACTATTTAGGTTGCAAAGTAGAAGTGTAACAATAAGCCATAAACAATATAATGGAATGTCCAACTGTGAACGCAAAAACGACAGGAGCATAACTGATTTAAGGTCACGTCGCAAAATTGAGTTGACCGCGTATAATATCCAATATTTGAAATACGACTTTGTACAATCTAGTGTATTTCTTTCTGCATGCCAGTCACTAGTCTGACATTCGGTGAACTTTGAGGGAGGTTAGAGATTGGCTAAGTTCACAGTAAGTGAATTAATCATATAGACGTGAGTTTTGTTATCAAATTGTTCAGTTTGATACACATTCAGGTGATATATGGTAGTAGGCTCTTGCAGCCTGTGTTAACCCTTGTGAAATGTATTTTAAGAGGCCTAACTTCCATTTGAAAGAATTTACTGATGGATCCGATATCACTTGATCCAAGCGTTGAACACTCTATGTGAGAATTTAAATTCCAACAGTAATTTGTTCAACCGTGTTTTGAGTTCCTTATTCTTATTACCTCTCATAATGTCCTCAGAAGAGAGAATAGGTTAGAAAGTTCGACGATCAAATCAGTGTCTAATATACTACATTTCGGGATTAAACCATCTATCCTCTTTCGATATGATAATGAGAGGAGGTAAAGGGAGTCTACGATGAAGTATTCAGCGCAGAACAACGAGCAGTCAAGTTGGATCTATATCTCCCCTATGATTTGTAAGGCCTTTATCCATTGAATTACTAATGCCCTTCCGATTTTTTAGATAGGTACTCCCCTTGTGACCTTATCTCAGTCGTTCTTTCAAAGATAAAGGATCATAAACACCACTGGTCTTCAATTTTTCAAGTCATCGGTTGGTACTTTGAGTAACTGTTTTGGAATAAAGGTCAGTTTCTTAAGAGGTTCACATGCTCCAGATTCTTCTCATAAGGGAGATGAGATATTGTCATTAATATTTCTCTAGGCATCTGGTGGGACAGAGGCCTTTACCAATACCTCACCACTTTACTTTGCTCCCTGCAGCCTTGTCTATTCGGCTCGATGGTAGGCGATGAGCTTCCATTTCATCGCTACACAAACTCCTTAATGTCACTCTCGAAGCCGCAGCTAATTAATTGGTTCCAATTCGGGTCCCACTCGAAGCCTTGGCACATCATGTCACTCGACGGTTTCCTCACCATGTGTCCAATCCGTCTCAATTTTCTCCTGCAAATATGTTAGGCGATATGTTCTTGGTCGGTTCCTTGCTTGATTCCCTGTTTTCTAAACCTTCCTGGCCACCTGAACTTTAGCATGCAACGAAGTCATTTGTTGACTAGGTGTTTTAGTAGTCTACTGGAAATACTTCTGGTGCCTAGTATCTGAATCCTGTGGAAACACTGACTGCGAAAAATCCGAATTTGGTGCCTTGTGCTAAGTGCATTAGATTTACAAAGTGATTTCAGAGTGATGAAAGCCTATCTCGATTTTCTAATCCTAACTTTTACATCATGAGTGCTGCATGCAGCAGAAACTACGCTGTCTAGATAATTTGAAGAGATGATTTCCGTCACATTTCTCTCGTTCATAATGATTGGTGCATGTTGTTGACGGCTTGGTGTCTTCAGCACATATGCCTTTAATATGTCCACTTGAAGTCCTGTCTTCACTAGTTCTTCTGCTGACATGTTGGTTTCCTTCTACATTTCTTCCAGTTTGCATGACATCAGATATAAGTCAACCCTGAAGTTCAGATCTCCTGATGTGTCCTCTCTGGTCCACTTTAAGCCCTCCTGGCTTCCCACGGTCTGCCTCATAGTCAGATCCACCAAAATCAGAAACGACATCTGAGCTTTCCTCCGTGAACTGCTTGACATGTACCGTGTTGAGTGAGACTGACCATGGTGTGCAATTCTATGCTGTATTTTTCTCGGGCAAATTGCTTCCTGGCATACGCTCTCCTAGGTCTCTCCAAAATCGACACAGAAGAGCTAGAAACTTGACCGCCATTGCATCCTCTGTTAGGTGATGATGCCTTGTGTTGCAATTTGATATGCGTTCACTTAGTCCAGCCGGTCCAGTCAGGTTTCGCATCAAGAAACCCTTCAATTTCTGCAGGATGATGCGAGTTAATATCTTGCTTGGTGTGAGCAGCTGCAGCAGAGACGCAGGACGCCCTTCTTTGGTAGTTTCACAAGGTTACCTCACCTTCAATCACTAAATACCTTTTCTACCTTTCGAACCTTTTGCAGCAGTGGCGTGAGAGTATCTACCGAGGTCTATGGAGCAGTAGTCAGTGCTTCAAGATGGATTCTTCCTGATCTTGCTGCCTTCCTGGATGGCTGTTAGTGGTTTGATTCCGTTCAAGACTTCTGCTTTTGTTGGAGGATATTTGTCCACTCACAGTTCTGTGGCTCTTGGTGATATTTCTGGACGAGTTGTTGGCGACGACCAGTCAAAGTATCCCTTGAAGTGGTCAGCCCATTGTTCTCTTTGTTCCGCCTCTTTGGTAATCAGGTTCCATTCACTATCTTTCTTTGGTTTCATTTGTGTTGGTTTCTTCCCCGATGACTCCCTGGCTGTCTGATATAATATTTTCAGATCTCCTTTAGCTGCGGTCCATTCTCATTCAGCTGCCAGCGTGTCGCAGAATCATCTTTTGACTTTCCTAGCTCTCTTCACTTCTTCATTCAGTGCAGTGTACACTGAACTCAGCTTCTTCTGTTGTGCATCGTTGCATTGGTTTATCTTATATTTTCCCATACACTCCTCCTCTATTAGCTTCCACGTGTCAGTAGAGAACCATTATCTGCCTTGACTCTTCTTATTTCCTAAATCGGCTGTACATTTTTCCTCGGATATCACCTTCAAAGATTTTCAGTGTTCTTCCATTCAGGTTTCCCCAGTGGTGCTAAGTAACGTCTCCAACTTTGCTCTGATAGCTTCAGTTAAGTTGTCTTTTGTGGTTTTGTCTTTCAGATTCCGAGTACTGAACTCTGGTTGTGGTCTTTTTTCAGTTGTTTCTAAGGATCTCATCTTGACGCTGAACATGATAATGGTCTCAGCTCACATCCCTCCCTTCTCTCGATTTTGCGTTCAGCAGGCTAGCCCCATTTCCTTGGGAGTGAGATGAAATCTGCCTTAATTTTGCAGTGTCGATCTGGCATGCCCCATGTTGCCTTATGATTGCAAATGCCACCTCTAATCACGAAATCATCCTAATCGTAGAAGCCTGTGGATAGTTTGTTCTTCTCAATTATTCCCGTGAGATCCTGTCCATCCTTTATGAGTTTTCTTCTTGCGTTACTCGCTCCCAGTTTGTTATTCATATCACTAATCGTGGTTCTGATGTCACCGTTTGGGGTCTTATCCAGTACAACCTGTAATTGTCCCTAGACGTATCCCTTCTTCCCTTGAATTGAACTCTCTGTGCAACCGTAACATTGGATGTTTGAGTTGAATACTGTGATCTTAATTCTGGAGTAGATTGGTTCCCAATGCCCGAGAGCCTGTGGGTTCTCTACAGCATAGTATGCTGTGGCCATAAAGGGGTACTTTGGGGATTAAGGAATTCGGAAAGTTGAGGGGAGTAACTCATTAGGAACTACACACTCCTTCTTTATCTACCAGATGGTGAACGCCTTTCCGTGTGTTTGGCCAGGTTTCCCAGTTTCACTTGACCACTGCTGTGTTATCAGAGGTAAACTCTCAAAACCTGTATTAGCTTCTTGCTAAAATGTAAGTTTTCGTTCGATAATGTGGGTACTTACTTTGACAGGAAAGTCAGTTTCAAAAGCCGCCTACGCTATTAGTGACATGATGATAATAATACATATTTATTCCTGTTTATGCAGGAATTGTACAGGCATGGATAAGTTATTATATAAATTACACATATTTGTTGTATGGTGAATTTACAGTTCTGTTCTGTTCTTTCTGAAATTAGAGTCAGTGGGAAAAATCTACTGAATAGTCTGTTTGTGTAACACATAAAGAGATATAGAAGTATTGTCTTCTCATTAACAAAATACTCAGACATCAGATGAATGTAATACAAATATCTGGGAAAAAAGCCTGAAGCCAATTCTCCTATATAACTTTGTTGTTGATTTAAGGTAAATTGATGTATTCTGTTGAGATCAGTGATATACTTATTCCTTCAGTGTGTTCACGGTTATCGAATAGGTTGTTGACTCTCCAATTACCGATATACAGCCGACATCCATTTCATCCGCTCTCAAAGATTTCTACAACTTCTATGAAATATCTCACTTATATTTCATTCTAGGCAGCCTTTACAGCTTCAAACATCGTGACAATATTCCGTCTCCTCGCAGTAAGGTACATACGCCGAACGGCTTTCGAAGGCTTTCCAGCGAAGAATAAGTTCCTTTTCACACCTTTTCTGTGCCGGCCCTGACTGTTGCACTGGTGAACTAGGTGACGTTTGCTCCATCGGTGTGTGTGCAAACCACTGACATAACAACGGTGAAAAGTGAGAGTAACTACTGACCAATTTAGTTCCTACTGTGTGTTCTCTTTTCATGACTTGTGCCCCCCTCTAGAAGTATGGACAGGCCGCTCATGTTAATATTCCAGAAGATGTCTGATATTTGCCGATCAGAATTCTCCAAGCATAGACTCACGTAATCATTTAAAAGCGCCTTGAACTGCCCATAGTACTCGGAAAGCCTTTAATTGAGGCTCATTCCACTATAAAGCTGTTTTCAAGCTGTGGCTAGCAATAATTCCTAAATTCTTCCGTCACTTGACATAGGCTGCACCTGTATCCCATAAGAAGTACGACATCCAAGATTTCCACCTAGGGTGCACCACCATGCATCGTATGGAATGAATTTCAAAGCCTCAAAAGTCAGACCACTCACTTTATAGGACTGACCTGTCACAATTATTATTTACAGTGTTTTTAGGACTTGATATTATCCGCATATAGTAATATAGATGTGAGAAGAATTTTCGGCGTTTCATCCATTATAACAGTAGTCGCAGTGGGAAAAACAAGGGGCCTTGAACGGTGTCTCTACCGCTGCGAAATGCCCCACATAGACTTCCACTTAAATTGTAAAGTACCGATTTCACTGTTAATCCAAGAAGGCTTGTGAGATGGCTTCCGAGGATCAGACATTAGGGGATCAAGGAAGTCCATCAACTCAAACGAACCTCAGCCATTTCAC